CCTGCCGTATTGACCGAGCGATAGCGAGGTCAATACGGTAGGCCGAGGTTTGAGATTTTCCCGTAACGACCTCACTCTCGGTTATTAAGTAGTTATTACAAAATATTTTACAACCGTTTCAGTGTGATTAGAGGATAACGACAATTGATTTGATGTTGAAGTTTGAGATAATTTTTGGTTTTAGAAATTTCTAATTCTACTAATTTGGAGGCTAATAATCATTATTGTCCTATAGTTGTAATTTAAAACAGTATGCAGAGCAATCTTGATCAGGAAATGCACATGGCTTCACTAAATTATTAATAACCTCAGCCTTGATTATTCAACCACATCAAACAACTATTTAGCATCAGGTTAATTATGCTGTACGAGGAGGTTCAAAATTTTTAACTTCACGGATTGTGTCTGTAGACTGTCGAAAGTTTTGAGCTTTTAAAACATTTTTAACCAGAGAACGATTGAACACCGATTCCAACGGTTATATCACCTTGTGGATTAAATGACAGTGTGAGATCATTAAAAAATAATATACTTATAACGAGAGATAGTGCTACTTAAGTGTAACACTGAGCGCAGTAAACATTTTTGTCAGTTCCGATAATGCCCTCTCCGTATATCCCCTGGAATAATCCCCCCGGAATAATCCCTCCGAAAGTAAGTTCCCCAAACCTCAAACGCAAAAATCAGAAGCCGTCCTCCCACTCCCCTTGAGTGTAAGCCCATGGCATAAGCATAAGCCATTCAATTTCTGATCGAGCTACAGAAATATCAGTTCTGAATATTGAAAGGGTATTGGACGATTAAACTACTATCCCAAAGACTCTGAGCCCGGCCCAAGTATTGAATAACTTTTTTGTTAGACGCGGGTATAAAAACTCAAAATCATGTTGTAAAGAATGTATGCGCCGACTAGAGCTTTTGCCAGCCAGAAATTATGCAGTTTTTGAAATCCAATATCTCCTTGAAAATTACAACCAAAGATCGAGAGCCAAGAGTTTCACCGATTACTAAGTTGCACAAGCTCTTTGAATGTTTGTAGTCATTCTGTATCGAGCATGATACCTTCTCTGTGCAAAGTCGTATGTTAATGAGGGGAAATGTCACAAATAACGTCACCAACGACCGCTTTTTTCAGTGTTAAGATTCATCCCTTGTTTCGTACTTCGGCTTAAACGTATGCGCAGAGACAGGGTGTCCATTAACCGACTGTAGAACTCGTATTGTGTGTTATATAGATATGTTTAGATAATTTTACCATCCTATTTTGCAGGCACCTAAAATCTATCTGATCTATCCAAATGTGACTACCAAGTAACGTAGTAACGTAACATACATTCAGTTTGTGGGCTTATAATCAAAACAAACCCAGCAACATCGAAGAAAAACACCCAGTAAATACAAGGGAGTTATATGGAAGGACACCATCGAAACAGATTAAACCATTATAGAAATATAAAACAACCCTTGGAAGCCACAGAACACTGCGTACCAAAATGAGAAATACGGTCTACGATTATCCTGCGTCATATGATATGAACGAAAAGTCCCCAGGGCGGATTTAGGAAAAGGGGGAGGCAGGTTGGGTGGCTAGCCACACCCTCCCTTTTGGAAAGACAAAAATGAAATTGAAAACGATTGTGAATATTTTGGCAGAAATATGGGCAAACACTCTGAACAGCTACCTCGTTGTAATTTCTACTCTGTGGCAATTGCTAGTATTTTGAAATTAGGTTCCAATTCTCTAATTGCAACATTTTGGAGGAATGCCTCATTGAAGAACCAACGAATCACCTCCTCTTGACAAATACTGGATTCCGCCCCTGTGGTCCGAGTAGGACGCGAACCTGGGTAATAGCAGTCAAGCACTGACAAGCACTGTGACCATTACACCATGAAGCAACCGTGCCTTCGGGCGATCCCCCCCCCCCCCCCACCCCTCCCCCCAACAACATTCGATTCCTAGTCTTGATAACTTTTGCTTTCACAGGAGATGTGTCGAAAATCGATCTCAAAGTGTGAAGAACTCTCGTATAAATTTGCTATGTAATGGATATCTTTGTTTGTCATTTCGCGGGGATATAATCAGTAAGTCTGGGCACATTGGAACAGACCAAAATCAAACTACTGCAGGGTGTTCGAGAGTGACCAGAAGTTAAAGTTAAAGTTAAAGCTTTGGACCTTTTAATTCCTCCAATGCAGTCGGACGTGGCCGTGAAACTGATTACTGGTTCGTTAAAAGCTACAACACAACTAAAATTCGTTAATTTATAACCAATTAGCGCTAAACTGTCTTATAACCTCGGTCGGCTCCAGACAGATTTTCGTTAACGTTCTGGTTACTTCGCGCGGCGTGGAAACCCACCGTGCAAACAGCGTTGCCAAACAACGCTTCATAGTCTCCCGAATACTCGAAATCTTATGGAGACTCCACGCTTCGACGTTACGGCTGTTCATTTCTCGCTCTCTTCAGATCCTCAAAAGGAAACAGTAAAACTTGGAAAGGGATCTCATAAACAGACGCGAAATAGAAGGAAAGAAGAAAGGATAGGCGGGAAAAGACAAATTTAAGCGGTTTAAACAAAATATGTACGGTAGCCCTGTCTTTTCTGTAGTTTTTATATGGAGCACACACACGCCACTTCCATCAGTCTTGTTTAGTTCCCAGGGCCCTGAGTCGTTCAATCAGTGGAGGGTGTGAGTAGTGATAGGCAGAATACAGTTTGTCTGCCACAGGAAAACCAAGGTTGTCTTTGTGGAGCTTTATCAGGGATGAGCGCAGGGAGGTGGCAAATCCAAGGCTCTTTGCAAAGTCGTCTGCTTGAAATTCAAACTTTCGGCTGAGGACGGTCATCAGAAACCCAAGAAGCTTAAAAAAATGACACACGTGATTTACGAAGACATCACTGATTGATGACTGCAGTTATATGCACAACTTAAGCAGCTATGAAATTAAGGCCTGAAAAAAATTCAGGCTTGAACGGGATTCGAACCCATGACCTTTGCGATACCAGTGCAGTGTTCTACCAGCTGAGCTATCAAGCCAGCCGGAAGCTGGTCACGTTGTGAGTTCGTACTATACCCGTAGGTGGTGAAGAATATTCACTTGCGTGCTACACATGATTTACAGTTCATAGCTATGTGGATAATTGGTCTTCGTTCCAAGACTAATGCCTTGTCGCTGCATCAGGTTTAGGTTTTCCAATTTGTCGATTACGCTTTACAGTCCTTTTGAGAAGACAAATTACAAATCATTTTGCTAAAATGTTTTATTCAAACAGGGGTTTTATCTTGTTTAGTTGTGGGGTGAGCACAGTATGAGCAACTAATTTTTAACCTTGCTTAGTTAAGCCACTTTTAAACATAGTTAACATGCTGGTATGAACGGGGTATAACTTCGTTTTTTATTGGCCAGGCAATAGTAAAACTAACATAAGGATGTTAAAAATAATAAATTAGCCAAAACTCTTAGCCTAGTGGCAAAGTGAAGATCATTTCCCTGTAAGAATGTCGTTTCTTTTAAACGACTTTACAAAGGAAGGACACAGCCGCTTTTGAAATGCTCCAGGAACTTGAGCCTACCAAACGCTTTGTTCCTATTTTTGCACTTTATTTTGGATCCATTGTTGGACGGCTTGTATCTAATTTTCCTGCTATTTTAAAAAGGTTACAGTAATCTTTCTGCGACGATTTCTACCCCTATGTGTAACCACTCCAACTTTAAAAACGTTATCCTATTTCTGTACCGTACCGTTATCGTTTTTATCTCTTTGTGGCACCCCATAACTTGTTTTAGTTTTTTTGCACCTAAATTTGTCTTCATTTTGGTAGTCAACTTCGTACCTCATTGTACTCTTACATACTTAACGCTTATTCCACGAGCGCACGTGGGATGTGAGATGATACATAGCCAACGAGGCGCGTGGCGCCGAGCAGGCTATAATCATCTTAAATCCAACAGGCGCGATTGGTATAATTGCTTTATTAAAAATGCCCACAAAATATAGAAAAATAAAATAAAAATAAAAACGCACCAAAGAATAACGCGTACGCTTAACATATTTGTAGAGCATGGCACAATTGCTCATATATCATGATGGCTAAGCCAATTAAAATTCTTGAATCACATTATCCCATGATCCAGTTTTTAATAATAAGTGCTATATTACCGTGATGTACTACCAAACTCTCAAAACTAAGGAGAAAATAATTACATGACAGACGGTAAGGAGAATTAGTACTTTGTGCTCGGGACTTACCTCATTGTAAGGTGAAAATATGAACTGGAATATAATCACCAAACCGATCATTGTGGGCTGAGAGTCAGGGAAACCAAAACTAGCAAACAAAACCTTGTTGTGCATCAGGTGACCGAATATCATGAACGACAAGAACGTATTCACCTGTGGATAGGTAAAATAATTAAGTGGAGTACTACACTTATACCGGCCCTATCCCCCACTCGGGGGCAAGGAACTAAACAACAACACTTATAGCATGTCTACTTATACGTTACAGTGTATAACCTCCCCCCCCAACCTACTCCCACCCACCCCTAGTCAATGAACAATTTGGAAAACCCAAAACAATGAGTTTAAAATTTAAGAAAAACGTATGCCCCACTAAAGTTTTGGGTAGAGAAACGCCAACCCCATTTCTGACTAAGAAGGCTAAAACCCAGCTCTACCAACTGGCAAGAAATACATGAATATCCTCACAATGCCATAACTAAACGTCCACTACAATTACTTCACCCAAGTTCACCTGTGAAATACCAAGGTTCTTAAGAGTGTGGCTGAGTGACCAGTGACCAAGTTCATGTCCTAGTACCGCTAATATCTCGTCATTTGAGCAGCCTTTGGGAGCCTTTTTTATCTCATCATCTTCAGTGACAACCTATACGAATGTTGTGGTAGAAAGTTGGTTAGCCTCGGTTCTCAAAGTCATTGGGAAAACAAGTAAAATCCGGGAATATATCACCTACATGTATTTTACTCCTAAGCCTTATGTCATCAGTGCCTGATGACACGCGCTTAAAAAAAAATACAAGCGGATAATTTAAAGACATGAATTATCATCGCAGTTACGTACACAACTCACGTAGGCTCCATTACCAGTTGCTGTCCGGGAAAAGAGCCCGTGCTCCTCCTCTGAAGGCACTTAGATCGGACTCGAGAGAGCGGCGGAAATAGAGCCTACATGCGCAGCTTACGCAGTTGTCAAGATCCATGTAATGCCTGAAAAAAAAAAATAGACTTGAACGGCATTCGAACTCATGACATGACCTCTTAGTCTACCAATTGAGCTATCAAGCCAAATGGCTGCTGGCCACGTTGTGAGTTCGCAGGATGCCCGTAGATAGTGAAGAATGCAAGTGGATAATTTAATAAAATTGTAGATGATGTAAATACGTTCAGGAATTGAAACACAATGAGACCGTGTACCGTGTTTCTATCGAGTTTTAGTATAAATTTACCAGCGGTCTATCACGAATGCCGTTCTCTGATTGGCTATGCTACTCACTATCTATTCTGTAATAGATAGTGAGTAGCGAGGCAGTGTGCGCTTGTTAACAGAATGACGGCCGCTTCTTGGCGTTTTCGAAGTGTCTGTGAAGAGGATCTAGATAAAGTTTTGAACGACTTGTTGATTTATACTA